GTTATCCTTTCTGAACTGGTTTATAACAGCTCCCCTGTCATCAGCTTTCCAAATATGTGTGGGTTTATTTTGAGGAACTCAATTTTCTTCTGTTTTAAGGATTTATAACAGGTTTTGAAACCTGGAGGTTAAGTTCTCCCTGACTTATTCACCTCCACCCTTTATTGTCATGCTATTCTTGGACCTTCGTTCTTCCATGTAATTTTAGGGTCAGTTTATCAAAGTTTATTTTAAACCCTTATTCCCTGTTCATATTTCTGCTGGAACTTCTCCGAACAGTATTTTCATCTTTATAATACTGGTTCTTTTTACCCTTGAACGTGGAAAATCCATTCCTTCATTTTTTAAATTCTTTTTTCTTTTTAGGTGCTGTGATTGAGACTCTGAGCATGCTAAGTACATACTCTACCACTTAACTACATCCCTAGCCCCCACATTTTCCAGTTTATTTATTATGCTGTTTAATAATGCAACCTAAAGCTGGTTATTAATCATCCTAGGTGACATAAAATAATAATTTTTTCTTACAATTTTTTTTACTACTATGATGATTATATTTTAAGTTTTGTCAATAATGTTATACAGAAATACGACTATTTTTGTGGGGTTTTTTTTTTCAGTACCGGGAATCAAGCTCACAACCATCCCACTTGCCAGGCAAACATTTATGCCACTGAGCTAAATCTCTGGCCTTATTGTTATATGTTTATCTTGTTTCCAAAACCTTGCTCTATTCATTTGATTAGCTTTACTGCTTGCATTTCAATGTTGAAAAATGCATTGTCTGAAAAAAAAAGTTTTGTTTCCTGTTTCAATTCTTACACCTCACTTGTTTTCTTCCCTACCTAGGCTAGTATCTCCAGAAGTGGGAATAATAGATATCAATATTTTGTTCCTGACTTTAAAGAGGTTACTAATAGAAGCTTTTGTGGTTTATATCTAAATGTCCCCCAAAGCCTCTCATGCTCAGAGGTGGGCCTTCTGAGAACTGACTGAATCATAGTTGTTTAATGCTCACCAGTGGATTAGGCCACATATGAATTTATAGCTGATTGTGATGCTGGCAAGTGAAGGCAGGTTGGTGGGTCACTGGGGGTGTGGTCTGAACGGACATATCTCTCCTCTCATGATCTCTCTCTCTCCCTTTGTCCTTCTGCCATGCCACGAGCTGCTTCTTCTCTGCCATGCCCCTCTGCCATGTTGCCCTGCCTCGAAATCAGTGGACTATGGATGGAAACCTTTACAGACTATGAACTAAACTACACCTTTCCTTGTTAGAGTTGTAGGTGTTAGGTATTATAATAAGCCATGAGAAAAGTAACTAGGCTAGCAGCTCAAAAGTAAATGTGATATTTCGTATAAATTTTTCATAGTTATTCTCTAGAAGTTTCAGGAAATGTCCTGTTCTTAGTTTGCCAAGAAAAAAAATATTGCTATATCACATTGCTAATTTTAAAAATGTTTTTTCTCATTCATTGAGATAACTAAGTACTTTTCTCCTTTAAACCATTAATGTGCTATACCTATAGACTTTCTGACACTGGGCCACATTTATTTTTAGAAAAAATCCTAGTTTTAAAAAAATTGTAATTTTTATTTTAAAGAGGATAAAACGAAGCAAAATAAAATAGAATAAAGCCAATCAAAACAAGAGTGTGACACAGGATTTCAAAACAAGATAAAAGGAAATCAACAATGCTTACCATAATGCTTCTTATTGTCTTTAAACAGTTGTCCATACTTGTAGACATAGTAAAATCAAACAAAACAGAACAGAATAGAGCCAATAAAAACAAAACAATAAATGTAATAAAGGACTTCAAAACAAGACAATAGTAAATCCAAAATGGCTACCATAATATAGCTTGTTATCTTTGAAATAGCTACCCATGCCATTTGATATAATAACATCAAACAAGACAAAACAGAATAAAACCTGACCAAACAAAACAATGAAAATGACACAGGACTTCAAAACAAGATAATACTGAATTAACAATGGCTGCCACCTTCAGAAGGAGATCCCCCATAGATGCTGTGTTGCATATTGTTATCCTCTAAATGAATGATGAGACTACTGGCTTTAGGCCTGCGAAGTGAGTAAAACATGAAATACTATAAGCATTATACTGTATTTTACCTTAGTAGGTATCACCATACCCTGTGTTTCTCCACATTGGCTGGTTTGCTTGCAGAGTGTGTGGAGGGGGGACCTTGGCTCTTTTTGTCTCCCAGCCCATGTGCCAGAAGGGGCTGGGCATCTGGTTCTCCCCTCAGAGACCTGAGCCTGGCATTGACTCGCAGGGAAGGCCTGGCTTCTTGTTGACTTCTTGTTCTCCTCCCCCTCTTATTTTTATGATGTGTTTTCGTTTAGAATTTTTTGCATGATGAGATTGTCCACAGATGAAGACAGACATACCAATCCTACTCAAAACCTAGCAGCTGGGTGATAGGAAACATAGAGATGAGACTTCCCTATGATTTTTTCTGTACTATTTTAATTTAGTTTTGGTATCAAGATCATAATTTCCTTATGAGATAAGCTCTTAATGAATTTTTTATAAAGTAAGAATTACCAGAGGTGGTATTTAAACATAACAGAGTACTCCTCTGCTGTACAGAAGGATATATTTGAATCATTGGTAGGAAGGAGAATCCATCTTGAGACCACAATACTAAGTGAAATAAATCAAACACCAACTTAAATGTTATATGATTTCTCTCAAAGAGATACTCAAGTATAAATAAATTAAAGAGCAAAATAAAAGATAGGTAATAGGAAACAGATCTTTTGCAAATGGGAAAGGAATCAAGAGATGGAGAGATGGCAGAAGGGAGGAAGAGACAAGGGACATACAAAGAATTATAAAGTGTGCTGTGTACATGTACCAATTCCCCATGATGAATGTAATCATTATGTATTGAAAACATGTACTATGAAAATAAAAATTAAAAAAAGAATTATATTTCATTGGTTAAAGTTCACCTATAGAACTATCTGGGCCTGTTGCCCTTGTGGGGCTTGGTGTAGAAACAAAATTTTATTAATAATTCAACTTTGGTAGTGGTTATTGATTTACATTTTTATTTCTTAGATATATCTTGATAGTTTTTTAAAGAAAAGTTGCTCATTTCAACTGATTTAAAATTACTAATTTGTATTTTTCCTCTTTTTCATTCTTAATATTACTTATGTGTACTTATTTTGATGAGTTTGTGAAGTTTTTTTCCCCCAAAGGAATGGGCTTTTGATTTGCTGATCTTCTCTATTCCTTAGTTTTCTGATTCCTTAATTTATTCTCTTATCATTATTTCTTTTTTCCTGTTCACTGAGATTTTATCTGTTCTTTTTTTCTCTTGAACATTCAACTCAGTTTTAGTGTTAATGTTTTTTAAAAATCAATGCATCTATGTTAGTCAGTGTTTGCCTATTGCAACACAATATACCTGGTAAACTACTCACTTTCTGACTAAGACTCAAAAAGGAAGAACAAAGAAAGAGTTGGGTTCCATTACCCCCCTCAAAGGCACATTTCCAATGACCAAAAGAGCACCCACTATACCCTCCTGTTTGGTTTCCATCATCTTTCAATAGTGCAGAGTTGGAGAGCAAGCGCTTAACACATGAACCTTTGGGGGACATTCCAAGCCCACACTATGGTAGCACTTACATCAAAACTTAGACATTTTGAAGCTGGGCACAGGAGTATCTCTGTACCTATAGCTCCAGCTATAGGGGCTGAGACAGACAGATCACTTGAGCCTGGGAGTTCAAGGCCAGCTTGGGCAATATAGTGAGATCCCCCACTCATCTCAACACAAAATAAAACATAAAATTTGATGTACAGTATTCTCATAGTTATCTAGTTCTAAATATCTCAATATTTTCTATGTTATTCCTTTTTTTTCCTCTCATGAACTACTTAGTTCACTATTGATAATAACTTTTTAAGTGTCTAAATTGTTTTGTTCAACAACTGGGTTATTTCACACTTCTGGATTATATCCATATGGATAATACAAACTGTTCCAGATGACATCTCAAAATGACCACAGACAACAAGCCAGCCACCCACATTCTATAGTGTTTTCCCTCCTTCCTGATTAAAAAAAAAAAATCTTAGCTGAAGTCTAGGAAGTTGGTGTAATAAATAAGCTAAATCTGTATTCAAATTTTCTGAATTGAAATGCCGACCAGGCCACTCAATAAATGTGAGAATCTAAGCAAATAGCTTAGTCTTTCTACCTCAGTTTCATCCTCTGTAAAACAAGATGAACAGGACTGGGGTGTAGTTCAGTGGTAAAGAGCTCACCTACCACGTAGAAGGGTGAGGGTTCAATCACCGGCACTGCAAAACAATCCAAAACAACAAAACAAACTACTGTCTGTTTCACAGAGTCATTGAGAGTTGTTTTGCACCTAGTTGTCATTCAACAAATTGCACTGATTTTACTTTATAGCTGCTGATTTTATTTTATGTTTAATGCTGCAACCCTCTGTCAGTTAGATGAACCTCTGCGTTCCTGCAAAGTAAGGACCCAATACTTGTTCCAAACAAGTGTTATTCCTGTCTCCAAAATATTTTCATTTCTCTCAAGTCCATGCAAACACACAGACATTCACCATCCCATTTCACATTCAAATTACACACAAGTGCAAACAACAGAGATTCCCACAAAAACATACAGAACGCCCAGATCGAGGTCCACACTCCCGCTTGTGCATGCTCCCCACAAAGATGGATCCATCGCCCACAGATGAAGACAGGTTCACCAGTGCCACTCAAAACCTAGCAGCTGGCTGACAGGTCACAAGCCACCTACAGTCCAGCTCATGAAGGTAAGGCCACCCTTCTCCAATATGGGCAGGGGCCTCATTCTTGCTTCCTTTGGGTTTTATTTTAGTTGTTTTGCTGCTCTTCTTAGAGTTTATCATATGTCCTCTTTCTCCCTACCCAGCCCCCAAGTTCCCCCCCAAGTCTCCAATGCGCATGTGCCCTGCATCCCTCCCCCTCCTGGGTACCAGTTGGCGCTCCCGGGCGCTGGCGACGGAAAGGATGGAGCAGCGTCACGATCGTCCAGCCCCTTAAAGCCCTGCTGACTTAAGCCGCCTCCCTCCCTGCAGCCCGCGGTAGAGATGAAGTAAAGGGGCACCCTTTGACCTGCCCAGGGGGATCAGCGATGGAGTTAAAGCAATCTTTGTCCACCCATCTGGAAGCTGAGAAGCCTCTGAGGCGCTATGGGGCGGTGGAGGAGACAGCGTGGAAGGCAGAAGGACTGGGGAGAAGTGAGTAACTGGGGCAGGAATGGGGAAACAGTTGGGATCCCTGAGCTGGAGCCGAGGTCGCCGGAGCGCGCCGAGTGTGGGGAACCCACTCGGGAAAGCGCCCCCGCTTTCAGGGCCAGGGGGATGCTGCGCAGCACCGCGATCGCCCTGCACACAAAAGGGGAGACCCTCGGGGGCTAGGCTTCACCGAGAGGCTCGGGAAACCGCCAGCCAGCCAACCTAGGAGTCTGGGTTGGATTTGGAAGTCCTGGATCCGTCAGCTAGCCCCAGTCTTGGGAAGTAAGGTGTCTCCTGCAGCCCAGGGAGGAAGATTCTTTCTCCACCAGGGATGCATTAGGGTGCTGGAGCCTCGGGCCATCCTGGAAAGCGCCCACGTCCTCGAAGAGAGGGGAGTGTCCTCTGGGTTTCAGCTTGCTGTGCCCAACGCCAGCTTCCGAGCACCTCTGAAATCCCAACCTCTCTGGTCTCCTTCTGGGTCCGAGGGAAGGGGAAAAAGGTTGGGAGAGGCTCTCCCTAGCAATCCTCCTCTTTCCCTTGACTCAGTTACTGTCTGGTGTGGGAATAGTCCTGGAGGCAGTTCTGAAACAGACTGGCTGCGTTCACTGGTTCTCACTCTATTTTGTTCTTGCGTCTACATTTCAAAATAAATGAAGGATTTTTGTTTTTAATTAATAAGACACAATAGCTGAGATTCCTACCCTCAAAGTGTAGAGGCAAATGACACTAGGGTCACAAGCTGCCCCTAGGATCCTGTGCCTCCTGCCAGCCTGCCACTTAGCAGCTTCCTGCCGGGCTCTTGCTAAAGGAGCACTGTGTGCTCTTACTCAGCACCAGTTTCTGAGTTATGTTGGGCAAAAGTATTGTAAATGTTCTTTTCTTGTCTTCACCTAGGGGAAAATTGTGTGTGACTGCTTTCTCTGTATCTATAATGATGAATTCACAAAATCTTCCTAGAATGGCTCAGTTGTATTCTGATTCAATGGATTCAAGTTAAAATCACAATTAAGTGTCTTAATTTCTCAGCTGCTGTGACGGATACTTTAATGCTTCACCTCTTTCTTTTTCTTTCTCCTTTTAAAACCTGCATCCCTTCTGTTTCATTCTTTACAAACCCTTTGGCTGTGTTACTTTGGCCTAACCTCAGGGCTGATGGTCTGTGTTTCTCACAAGAGCAACTATGATATCAACTATGGCTATCTTTAGTTGTTAGATTATAATGTCCTAAGAACTTTCAATGCATCATCTCATTTAATTTCCAGAAGGTCCTTCTGTGCTATTTTGTCTCTCCTTGCAGAAATGAAAAAACTGAGGCCTGTGAGGTGATACAACTTTTCAGTGGTAGAACCTAGAATTGGACCCAGGCTTATTTAAATCCCATACGTTTAGCCTGAGGGTTTATAGTTCTCATGTTTTCAGGAACCTTCTGAAGTCTGCTGAGAAAGTCCCAAAACTAGGTCAGTGCTGCTACACACTTTAGATCACACTGTGGCCTTGAAAAAAGGCTGGGGCCACAGGAAGTAGAGCTGCACGTACTCGAATAAATGCTGGTTCGAATCCTCCCTCTGCTCCTCGCTTACAGTGTGACATCAGACACATGTGTAAGCTGCACTCTGCCACTGGTTTATGAAAATGTAGATAATAGTAGTGCCTACCTTCTAGCTGTATTGTGAATATTAAATAAGACACACAGAATCAAGGGTACTAATTTCTATAGAAATCTCAAGGTGAGTGGCCGACACGTCTTGGCTCCTTCATTGCTGTATTACAACATCTGAAGAAGGAACTTTGTGAGGAATTACATAAAACAACCTCCTGGACCAAAACAAGGATGTTAGTGAGTTCCCCAATAATTCTTAGCTTTTTGTTTACTCACCATTTTAATAAGAAAAATTTCAAGCATACAGAAAAATTGCAGCCAGCGCTCAATTTATACCAGGTTAGTCTCTGACGTGTGTGTGTGTGTGTGTGTGTGTGTGTGTTGCTGGGAATTGAATCCAGGGCCTTGTTCATGCAAAGCAAGAGCTCTGCCACTGAGCCACATCCCCAGCCCCAGCCCCTGACATTTTTGTATTTCTAACTCCTAGGCTGAAAACTATTAAGTGGCAAAAAGGCTTTCTCATTCTTCTAAAAACCATCAAAAACCCTGAGACTTGCTTCATGGTCCAGTGTGAGAACATAGTTCTGCTTTTGCATGGATTCCCCAAATATTTTTTTCTCCCTTTCTATTTATTTACATTTGAAATCTTTTCTCCCCCCACCCCAAGGGGCTGAGTTCAGATCTTCAGGCATAGTAAGCAAGTACATTGACATATATCCCCAGCCTCTAAGTCTTAAAGAGTCATCTAGAATCCTGCTTTTATTATTTTTTGTTTCGTAGTACATGTTTATAGAACACAGTGCTTATATTTATTGTGGGGAGTTATTGGTTTGTTTTGGTATATGTACAAAATACATCTTAATCTTTTTTTTTATCCCCTACCCCTCTATTTCCCTACTCTGTCCAACTCTTGGCCCTCTTTCTATTTGCAAAAGCTGTATGTATTTTCATTATTTTTCCTTCAGTTTTTCCCACCTCTTTTCCCTCCTTTCCCTCCATTCTCCATTTCTTGCTCCATTTCTTCCTCCATTTCTCATCCATTTGAAAAATATCTCCTTCTTATTTAGTTTCAATTTTGCCCCACCCTCTATCTATAATATACATACATATATATGCACATATATGTATGTATTTTGTCATATAAGAGGAACAAATAATATTTAAGCTTGTGTGTCTGGCTTATTTCACTTAATATTACAGTCTCAAGTTGCATTAATTTGTCTAAAAATGCTCTATTGTCCCTTATGGCAGAAGAGTAGTACTCTGTCATATATAAATATCACATTTTCTTTATCCATTCTTATCTGTTATGGACATATATACCATTTCTAGGATCTAGCTATTATAAATCGTGCTGCTTCAAACATGGATATGTGTATATCCTTATAATATTTGACTTTAACTCTTTTGGGGAGATACCTAGAAGGCATATAACTGGATTAAATGGAATTCTATTTTTAGTTTTTTGAGGAATCTCCACACGGATTTCTGCAGTGGTTGTACTAGTTTACCTTCAGAATCCACTTTTAATCTTAAATCTGACAAGTTCTGTTCTTCGGACTCTTATCAGCAACCAGGTGTATTTTGATTAAAGTGACTATTTTGGAGCACTCTTTCAACTCTGAGGAGATCAAGGAATCCATTCCATAACACCTGAGGCCTCCACTTATTTATTAGTGAAGTGTGAAAATTAGTACCCTTGATTCTGTGCATATCAATCCCTGAGTCAACACTGGGACATGTGAAATACTAGAGAATAGAATGAGCCCATTGAAAAGAAGGGATGTTTTCTTTGACTTCTACGTGTACTCAAATATTTTATGCTAAATACTGAGTACTGTAAATGAAAAGGAATTGAAAAGGGGAGAAAGACTGCAAAATACATTGGTTTTAGTTAAGGTTATATCAACTACTGCCTTTTGCTTCAACTCTAGTTTTTAAATGAAAGATACGGGAACTCTGAAGTCAGAGGAAATGAATTCAAACCAGCTGTACCCTGTTAGAGCTTTGCCATCATGGGGAACTGGGTGAACCTCTTCCACGTTTGGTTTGCTTCACCTGTAATAGGAGGATAATAATAGTAATGGGTACTTGGGGTTCTTGGCAAATTGAATGAGAATAAAGTACACAATGCATCTACCAGTGTTGGTGCGGAATGGTTGTCATAATAGGGCATAACTGGGTGGCATCCAATGGTTTTGCAGAGATTGTTCCAAGGTTAGTAGCCATTGCTCTTCCTGGCTCTCATTTCTTTGTAAATTCTGGATTAATGATTTTGTATATTCTGCCTTCCTTGGGAATGTGTGGAAAAAAGACTTTGAACCCTTGAAAAACATCCAATATTTTCTCATCTGAGACAGGTTCTGAGCAATTGCTCCTATCCACCTTTGACAGTATTTTCCATTTGCAGTGAATTTTTTTTAACTCAGCTGGAAAATGTATAGTGACATTTCAGTACGGTGAGCTATATAAAAATATTGCTTTCCATCAACTATAATTAATTGAGGGAGACACAAAGAAGAGGTGCTTTTTGAAAAGCACAGGTTTAAAAAAAACACAGTTGTCTGTCCCTATGAGTGTTTCTTAGTAGATTTGGATGTGCCTTCAAGGACAATCAAGATTTTGGGCAGGGTAATGGGGGAGGAGCAGCCCAGCAGAGAGAATGCCAGGGGAGGCAGTAGCAGCTACAGTGGTATCAAGGTAGAAATAAATACACTCTGAGTAGGAGACAGGGATATATTGGAAAGCTCAGGCAGCAGTCTTTCCATAAACCCAGGGGAGATGACTGTTATTTAAAAGTCCAAGGATGTGTGCTGACTAGCAAGCAGATCATTAAAGTGGCCAGTGTTTCAGGTTTAATAAACAGTATGGAGACTGAATTAATGTAAATTGTTGGCAATCAATATAACAGATTCTTTGGTTGGGGGGGGGAGGTTTCATACCGTTTTCATCTGTTTGATAAAACAGGCTAATTTTATTTTGCTTTAGCATCGTTTTCTTTTTTCTTTTGCACTTTATAAAAAATTCAAGCTCATCTAAAATATAAAAAGTGGAAGATGACCACCGTCTTCTTCCTCACCCCCATTTATTCATTTAGAAAATAGGGACTGAGTATCTTCTAAGTGCCAACCAGTGCTCTGAGGCTATGGAGATGGTGTTGAACAAGGTCAAGTCCCTGCCCGGGTGGAGCTTCTGTGAAGGGGAAATCAGGACGCGGTGTGGGAGTTAGCATGTCAGGTAATACCTAAGCAAACAAACACTTCAGATCATGATAAATGTTTTATGAGATTTCCTAGGGGAAGGAAGTGCTTTTTTAAGGAGGTGACATTTGGCCTTCTATATAGCAAGGTTCCAGGCTATGGTTGCAAAAACCCTTGGTACGTTAGAGGAAGAGCAAGGTCAG